TGGGGCTGAGAGAGCTCTGACAGAAACTGCTCTTTTTTCAAGAACAGCTCTTGTCAGAACTACGGCTTGCCCAAGGTTATCCAGCCAGGTGCAAGTGGAGGAGTGGGGGAATCAAACCCAGTTTTCCCAGATTAGAGTCCGCGCACTTAACCACTACACCAAACTGGCTCATGGTTTGGACCATGGATATTTTACAGTTCACTGAAAGGAAGTTACTGTCGAGAATGATTGTGATCAGGGAAATTGGCTAAGATCTGCCACCCTGTATAGAGATGTGGCAAGGGTTTGTGGTTCTCTTTGCTGAGGAGATGGGAGCCCCTGCTACCTGGGCCACATGAGCCGGCATCAGAAGAGCTGGGGGCTAAGTGATACTTCTTTCTGAGAGAGTAGAATGGTCTAAGCAGGCGTGTTCCTTTTAAGAACATCAGAGGAGCCCTACTGGATCAGACCAGTGGTCCATCCAGTCCAGCCTCCTATCTCACACAGTGGCCAACCAGTTCCTCTGGAGGGCCAACAACAGGGCATAGAGGCCGAGGCCTTCATAAGAGCACAAGAAGAGCCCTGCTGGATCAGACTCATAATCCATCTAGTCCAGCATCCTGTCTCACACAGTGGCCAACCAGTTCCTCTGGAGGGCCAGCAACAGGGCATAGAGGCCGAGGCCTTCTCCGGATGTTGTCTCCTGACTCTGGGATTCAGAGGATTTGTGCCTCTGAATGCAGAGGTTTCCCTCAGTCACCGTGGCTAATAGCCATTGATAGTCTTATCCTTCATGAATCCATGTAATGGCGAGGCTTGGAGAGATTTTTGGAAATACTTTTCTCCCTGATTCCAGCCAGGTGATTGGAAATGGGAAGTTATCAGGGTGTCGTGGCCTCCTGCCGTTGTGACCGGGCCCCTCGTGGGGTGGGTGGGGTGGCCAATATTACTGTGAATCTTAATGGGGAAGGGGATGACTGAGTATTTGATGAAGATTCTGGGCCGGCCTGCATTGTGGAGGATATTTTCAAAATGTGTCATTTTTGTCCTGTTACTGTCAGGACCCACAGCTAAGCAACGAAGTACACGCTTCCAGGAAGGTTTTACTTTTATTGAAAAGCCATAGACGCGATAACATGAACACAGGAATGGCGGGATACCTGTGCGCATAATAGGATATAGGGCATTCGTATGCGCCCCCCCCTGCAATCGCCAATCAGGTGTGCTCCCGCGCGCGGGATACTGTTGGACTCTCTAACGGTTGCGAAGCTGGGAACGGAGAAGCTCCCACGGACGATAGACACCACATTCTCCACCAGTACAACATCAAAGATCAGCGTTACAGCTCTGAAGCAATTAAGCGCATGGGAAGGAATGCAAAGCAATTAGAAAACATCTCCACACTCATGGCAGCATAGCTGACAGTTACAGACTAAGTGCTGGTTACTAATCATAGCTGGGGTGTACGGAGAGCTGTGGAGACTGAGTCATATAGAAGGTGCCTTGGTGGCAGCATTCAGGTCTCTTCCTCTCGGAATGGCATTTTATTGCATGTGGTTTGATAGAAGATGGAGTCCCTCCGGCTTCAGTTGGCTGTGGAATCCTGAAAGGTTCTGAAGCCTGGTTTCTGGTGTGTTTATATGGGCAGGATCTTGGGGTAATACCAGCTGCTTTCCTATCTGTTACTTAGTCCCCACCTGCGCAACCCATGGACACATATCTGCCAATGCTAGATGGATGCGCTTTGGTCCAGATGCCATATTTATGGAAGGACAGAGTCAAGGTGACTCAGACCTGCTGGATGCACATGGAAGAGCCATAGTTTTTTGTTTTTGTTTTGTTCTTGGGGTGTTGTTGTTGTTTGTTTTGTCCTGCCCCTGACCTGGATAACACAGGCTGGCCCAATCTCGTCAGATGTTGGAAGTTAAGCCGGGTCGGCCTTGGGTAGTATTTGGAAGGGCAGCCTCCAAGGAATACCAGGGTCATGACGCAGAGGCGGGGAATGACAAACCACCTCTGAAATGTCTCTTGCCTTAAAAAAAACATAGTCTACTTCACCACATGGTCGTGCATAGCGCTAAGAGTTAGACCTTCTGGCTGTCAGACAATCTTAAGATCTCGTGGCTACACTACACACACTCCCATACGATCATTATTATTTATGTTTTGTTCTGGAAAAGGGCCTGTGATTGCCAAACCGGACCTCATATCCTGGCTAGAGGAAGAGGAAAAGCTACTTGTCCATGGCTGCAAGGAAGAGGACGGATTGGCAGGTAGGTCTGTAGTGCAACTCACGGTATCGGTGAACTCTGGGGTTCTTTCCGAGGGTCAGTGGGTTTCCCTGGTCAAGTTTTAGTAGTTCCGATTACTCTGACTTCAAATTCTGCCTCAAATTGTTAGTTTTGTCCTTGTGGGGACATGGTCTCGAAAACCCCGCTGCAGCTCACGTGGGAGTCAGAAAGCTACTCAGCCTTCCTGAATCTCTGTCCAGCCAGGCTCCCCATTCTCTGTTCCCCTGCTGTTCTCTCTCCCCTTGGTACCACCACCATCGCTGACCACGTGTGACAAGCTAAATTCAAGTCCAGTAGCACCTGTTAGAGACCAACACCTTAGATTCAAGCCCAGTAGCACCTTAGAGTCTAATAGCACATTGGTCTCCAAAGCATTACTGGACTCCAGTCTAGGTGTTCTACTGCAGATGAACACGGCTGCCCTCTGGAACTGTCTTCACATGTGAAGAATTCTCTCATTCACACCGTGTCTCTCGGTCTGCACTGAACTCAGCTCTTGAAGCATTAAAGCCTCATTAGATAAGCACAGCTTGCAGAATCACCCATTAGGTCTGTTTAAGACAAAATCTCTGAGAGCATCAAGTGGGTAACGGTGTTGGTGTGAAGCAGCAGAACAAAGTTTGAGTCCAGTGGCACCTTTAAGACCAACGAGGTTTTATTCCCGGGTATAAGCTTTCATTGGCATGCACACTTCTTCAGGTACATTGAAACCGAAGTCACCAACCATTACATATAGGTAGGGGGTAGGGAAGGTGTTGCCAGGAAGGGCTAATTAGAGTCAAGATGCAAAAGTAACTAAGCAATAAATATAGCTAAAATTGGATTAAGGCCAATTGGTAAAACCTGTGAACAGCAGCAGACTAGCATACATCATAATAGAAGAGTTTACAAATAGATGTTCGAATTGAATGACATTAGCATGTGTAGTGAAATAAGAAACCAATATCTCTGTTAAGCCCTGGGGGGTTCTCTCACTTGATCAACAAGATCGATCAGGGCTTTGTGGCTCAGAGAGATGAATCAGACTGAACTCAAAATGAAAATAAGCTGAATAAGAAAATAAAGGCACACACTAGGAGTAAAAAACTAAGGATAAAAGAAATAGGGAGTAAACTGCAAATCCTTTTTCCCTGTCACATACATAGCCTGAATGATGATAGCATAGGATCAGCTTGTTTTGGGAGAGTAGCTGTGTTGGTTTGCTCTAGAAGAGTCTAGTAGCACCTTTAGAGACCAACAAGATTTTCAGCTTTTCCTTTATTTTATCCAATAAAAGCTCTATGATACATTGATTTTGTTGTGATACATTGATAGTTGTTATTAATCACCGATTACCCAATAGACAAAAGGAGTAAAAAAATTGCAGCTGCTAGAGTTCTTTCTGGATCCCCGTCAGAAAGTAAAAAGGTAACTAAGTCATAGGAATGTAAGTCCGGATGAACTTGCAGGCATGGTAGAATATAATGCCTCCTGAGATTAGCATACAAAGGACACTTTGGAAGGATATATGCCATCCTGTCGCTCTTACCTAAGGGACAGGGGCAGATTCGTTCTGCTAAGGTAAATTCACGAACCTACCCCTCATAACTGCTGAGGAGAGCGTTTAGTCTGGCCAGAATAAACGCCCTTAACAGGCTTTGGGAAAGCAACAGATGAGTATAGGAGGGAAGAGATTTTGGAGGTGGGATGAACAGGTGCGGCGTGGTTTAAAGGCAAAGCTTTAGTGACTGATTTGACACGATTTCTCACCAAAGCAAGTAGGATTATTGTGCTTATATTGTTACCTACCTTGGGTCCTGACTTGTCCAAGAGAAAGGCAGGTATATGGATAATAAAGATATGTGAAAGGAATTTATGGCTTGATCATATGAAGCTGCTTTCTACCAAGTTAGACCACTGGTCAGTCCAGCAGGCACTCTAAGGCAAGGGTTTTCACACCCCTATCATAACTACGTTTTTTGAAACTGGAGATGCCAGGGCTTTACCACAGAGTACTGAAAGCTGTAAAATGAAATCCAACAAAATGAATGCACATGCTCCATTAGATGTCCTTTAATTATCCAGGATTGACTGACTTTTCTATATATATATATATATATATGTTTTCTGAAAAAACTTCGATTTACTATAATTAATAACTAACTGGCTATCCTGGCAGATATTTGCCATGGCACAAAATATATAGTTCAACTCTATGCTCATGCACAATAATAACACAGCATCATCAGTATACAATAAAAGCAGCAGATGGTTAGCATTCAGTTTAGGAAGATGGATATTACCGTGATTTAACTTGATAGGGAGATCGTGTAGATATAAATTAAAAAGATCTGGGGCACAATACAGATTCAAAGCATGGAATTATTGAACCCTGTCTGCCTAAAAGGAAATGTGTGTGTCGTTTGGACATATTTTGATTTTGTTTCTGTGGGGCCCAGAAACAGGAGCTTTTTAAAGTGTGCCCAGACAACAAGACTGAATTCGTCAGTTTCAGAATCCAGTATTACTCTGTATTACCAGCTGTCTCTTTG